CCCCCCCCCCCCCCCCCCCCCTTGTTCTGTTCCATATTTCTTCTCTGAGATAACAGAGTATTCAAAGTAATCACTAAGTGACAACACTCAGCCAACAGTAACTACCAACAAGCGAAGCTATCGATCGCTTCCTCTTTCGAGGCTAAATTGCTAAATACAGTATCAAAATGAACCGATTTACTACAGGTAAAATAAGTCCTCGTAAGATCCTAGTGTTTTAGAAGCGTAAAAATTTTTGCACCTTACTACTAGGACTTGTTTCGCGAAGTTGACTCGAGATACCAAATTTGGCTTCAGCAATTCGTCGAATTTGGCTTCTTTATTGCATGCAGAAATGTTTCACCGAGTGAAATATCTGACGTACCTTAAGATGTGCCATGTCTGAGAAATCGTCCACCAAAATCACTTCGGCAAGAAGATGATCGGGTGTCCTCTCAATCACACTGTGAACAGTCCTCAGCAGCACCGACCAGGCCTCGTTGTGAAAACATATTATTACGGAAGTGTTCGGCAGATTGCTTGAGTATTGTTCGCTTCGACATCTACACACAGCAAATGTATTATCAGAATTTTTGCTTGAAAAAATACCATCTAAGTTACGGGCTGTGTGATACATAGAAATAATTCTCTCAGTGGCTCTCAAAGAATACGAGCAGTAAGGGAACGAACTCTTCGTCAATATAACTGGGTAGACTTCGATGCACTGAAATCATGTCCGATGCATACTGATTGAAGGCATTCCTCTGAAATCCCTCCTCGTAACGGCTCCTCTCTTCAATCGACAATTTCTGGAAAATTTTTATAAAAGTCACTCCACAATACATTTATTCACCAAACAGGGCCGATATACATAAAAATTTCACAAAAATTTTGACCGTATTAACACCCTGCAAGCGAGCCATCGGTAGCCTGCAGTGGGTAACTGCTTCAAAAACAGCAAATATAAAAGGAGTTTTGGAAAAAATAAGACTCCCAAACTTATTAGAAACGGAAAAGTGAGCGTATGAATAAAAAGGATAAGTGATACCAAAGAGTTCTTTTCTTAATCCAAAAAAAGCGAATCAAAAAGAAAAA